TGTTAAGAATTGCAGCTTATGTTAGAGCAGATAAAGACACTGTTCAATCCATTTTTTTTGCTTGTGCACCTTTGGTTACACTTTTGCTCATGTTGCTATAATCATCAGTGATGCTCACCAACTATCAAGATGAGTACATACATTTGGATGGTTGTAATGTATAAACATTAACTATACCATTTTTAGTTTTCCCAGGTAAACAAAGGTTAAAGTAGATCAAATGCAATCAAAAAAACTAACTGTTGCCAGCACAGATTTTCTATTTAGTGTGTTGTAAAATACTTTTAGTTTCTTCTGTTTTTCTGTCCTCAATCAGTGGATCCCACCCTGAGTCTGAGGCAACAGTGCAGTTCTTACATTCTGCTCGGAAGACTTGCATCATATCAATGTTGATAGTGTGTGTGTGTGTGTGTGTGTGTGTGTGTGTGTGTGTGTGTGTGTGTGCACGCGCTGCTTGTGTAACCACAGCCTGTGTTGGTTAACGGACTGACCAGATGTGATAAAGGAAGGAAAAAGAGAAAGAAGGTGCAACAACGCTGCTCTAATATCAGTGAATATGTAGTATATGCCACATACTGGAGATAAAAACCACTCACAGAATTCCTTGTATATGGGGCAGATATGAGATTCTTCCTTAATAGCTCATGATCAGGTTCATGAATGCTACAGATGCAGAATAAGCAGTTTAAAAATCGAGTACTGCAAAAAAGGGATAATGTAACATTTGGTTATGGACTATTTACTTTTTACAGTAACTTAACTTAACTTATATTGTGGGACCCACATGACAGTTTAAAAGAAAGATCAATTAATCAGTCAGAGATTTGGGTATGTTAGCAGCTAATGAAGCCTTGAGCTGCTAGCCACAAGTACAGATGAGGAGCGGGCTACAGAGGTTTTTCAAAATTTTAGTCAGACCCAACCAACGCTGACTCAAATGATATCACTTAAGGCAATTTATCAGTGTCTCTCTGGAGCCACAAAAGGTGTACTCCCCAACACCTGGAGACTATAATCTTTTAGATTAGTTCATCATTGTGGGAAATGCACTTAATTACTTTCTAACAGAGTTAGATGACAAGATCCATACCACTCTTATATGTATATATGCTGTATATGTTGTTGTTATATGAAGCTACAGCCAGGACAGATTATTTTAGCATAAAGACTTGCAACAGGGGAAACAGTTAGCCTGACTCTCTCCAAAAGTTAAAAAAACCCACCTACCATCACCTCTAAAGCTCAACAAGTAATATCTCATTTTTTTCATCCATAGACAGAAGTGTAAAAATAACACCATGGCAATTAAATGGTGATAACAAGATCCCAGGAAGTCACTACTCATTCTACTAATCCCACCCAGATTAAGAAGTGAGATACAATGTGTTATCAGTGAGTTTTAGTAGTGCCGGTACATGTGTTTTTAAACCTTTGGACAGAGTCAGACTAGATGTTTCTGCCTGTTTTCAGTCCATATGCTAAAATAAGATAATCTTGTTGTGGCTTCAATTTAACAAACAACTATAAGAAAGTTGATCTTTTTACCCAACTCTCAACAATGAAACAAATAGTCTAAGTGTATTTCCCAGAAAACTATTCCTGTAAGAATGCTTAATGTCGACGATATCTACAAATCTGTATCAAACAAGACCAAATGTTTCTTTTCCAAAATCGTGACCATGGATATGTTCCCTGAGAAAAAATGGGTCGCTAGCTCCTATCAGCTGATGCAGATTCCACTGGTTATGTTTAGACTGCTCACTCTGAATAGGCAGCTGAGACACACGTGTTTCTGTGAGGTTTTTAATATGATATCTGATCTCAAATCTGTCTGAAATGCCTTACTTGAAAAGAGTGCTTGTGAATTAAGAGTGTTTTAGGAACACTATTATACTGTATAATTCTGTAAACTCCTGAAGCTGATAAAAAAACTACTATCATCACTGAGGATCAGGGGCTATTTACAGTAGATGAGCTTCTTTTGGAATAACACTTTTCTTAAAGTCCTTCTATTTATAGTTTATAACACTCTAGTATTTATTAATGTATTTGTTCACAACTATAACTCATCCTGCAGGCGGCCAAGTGAGGGGTGGTATATCAACAAAACGACTGACAATATAAACAAAACAACAAAACATTTGTAATAATATAAAATAAATTGTAATATATGAAATAATAATGATGATATAAACTGTCTTTATAAAGTTGTGTGGAAAATCATAGTGTGTTATAAACCATTAATTAAATGTTTGTATAAGGTACTGCTTAAAAATGCTAAATAGGAAGACGCACAGAAAAGTGTCACCACAAATGCAGCCTAAATGTACAGTGTGATATGGTCTCTTTTGGATTACTCTATAATAAATCAAAATGTTGCTTATACCCTTGCTAGCAAAGTCGATATAATTCTGTCATATAATGAAATTTTGAATGTGTAAGTCCTCAGTCATTCTGGTTTTGTTTCTGTATTCATCCTCAAGTTCTATCTATTGTGAAATAATCTTCCTTTGAAACACACCAAGATGTGACTACTGTAGCAGTTAGCAAATGCTCAATGCTTGACTTCCTGCACCAGTCACTTGTTCGCTTTGGCTCACTGCCGTTTCATGCTGGGCAGGGTAGTGTACACTCAAATTGTTTTGAGTGGTTGCAGGAAGCAGCTGCCGCGGGTTTCATGTGCAGGGGGACAGTTGAGAGCCCTGACACTACACCCTATAGTCTTTGTGCAGACTCGAACATCAAAAGCTGCACTGAGGTGCTCAAAATGATAAATGCCCTTTTTTTGTCCAAAATGTATGAAGGATTTTGTGCAATTACTCAACCAGGGCATCTTTGCTTGTATGAAACTAAATGTAACCCTAAAACAACCTAAACCAAAATGTTTTTGCATGATATCAACCACCACAAGCTGAGCCAAAATTTGTGTGGCTGAATTTTTGTTATTTGATTAATTAAAATAGTCTATGAGTCAAATTTAAAAAAGTCAATTAAAACATATGGACTTCTGTACATTTGATGATTAACACAAAATATTTTGTTTTGGCTAAAAATAAGACTCCCCACTAACTGAATACATACAGAGTCTAATGAATTAATTTGTCTTCCTTCAGGTTTTGAATTATTAACAAAGCATAAACTAACTGCGCAGAATAGTCTTCATTGTTTTCTGAATATAAGAAAATTGGTCTAAATGGGTCTAAACCATGCCAGGCTGTAACAGAGGCATCAAAACACTTTGCTGTGGGAAATGAGCAGATTTTATCTTTGGTGATGCCACAGATGTAAAAATGGAGACGGTGCTGATAGACAAGTAACCGCCGAGTTTCACTGCAACTGTTGGTTGGGCGTCAGAAATCGCTGACATCTAGTAACCATTACTGAGAGAACAGTTATCTTAAATCCATGAAAGCCTTTACATTTGTCTTGACTGCTGAGGTTGAAATGTTTTTTTTTTCTGAGGCTTCAAACTTTAAGATAATTAAAAATGTTTACATTTTCATTTCTAAGAGCTTCTGGAGTAACACTAAAAGTATTGCATGTGACACAATAAAAGATTTACAGTAACCAAACAACTATGGAAAAGGAAATGTACTCAAGCACTCCACTGCTTGACATTTTCTATCTAAGTGAGGAAACAGCACAACTAACAATAAACTTGAATGAGTATCTAAGTGATTATGTAAAAGAAATGGAAGTGTTTGCAGGTAAGATTTTGGTAAAGTCTTACAGTGTAGGTTAGAGTTGAGTGGTATCATTATTGGATGACTAGTTATCATTTCAGATGTTCTTGTACAGACAGAGGGGTCTTGTGGTTGATGGTTGGTGGAGTTTTTACATAAATATGGACATTATCAGTGTATCATGACTGCATAATGTGCCTGTCACATGGATTCAACTGGAAAATCATCCCATGAAATTTGCAACTCTAGACTTGACTTAATTGGCTTTTAATTATTATAATTTTTTTTTGTTATATTAGCTATATTTCACCACTTTCCACCACAGCTGAGACAAATTCAATAAACCTACCGTGGTGTATGTAATGAACATTATATTTCATTTCAGTTAGTTGGTGTTGCAGATGATAGTGATGATGATGATGACAGACACCTTATTACTAAGCCAACCACACTATCACTTGGAGAAATCCCATATGATGAAGCAAATGAATAGGGTGATTGTATGGAGACAATAACTCACTCAGAGGACATTTTGGAACAGCTGCCTCCCGCAGCATCTCTAATTCAATGAGATTATGTTCATATATCTGAATATCTGTACCAAGTTTCATCCAATCGTTGTTGAGATATTTCAGTCTAGACCAATGTGGGGGATAGACCCACTGACATTGCCATTCCTTGAGCAATTACCACTAACATGACTTAAAATATAACCTAATAAAAACTAAATATTAGGAGCCAAAACATTATTGGAACAACCACTTGGTATCATGTGACCATGCGAATTTCATTCTTAGGTCACATGACAACAACTGCACATGCAACCTCTTGCAATGACTTGACAATTTAACAAACTTCATCTGTTGGAGAGGCCAGTTAAGTGGCTGAAAATGTATAAAATATCGATATTTATATTTATAAATAAGGTATTGGAAAATTAACCACTTACGCTCTAATTGGCTCTAATTGACCGCATAACATTTCATTTGGATTTAAATATTCATGCGCTGACCGGGAAGAATTACTGCTCCTGGCGTAACCACGATGTTTGCTAAGGTTAGCTGAAGTCTACAAATACTCTTTTTGTTGATCTTGACCTCACTGGATAAGTGTGTTATCAACACTCAAAAGTTTTGTGGTAAGAGAAAGAAAAAGCCTGTAAAGGTGGCCAACTACACAGTGCACCACCAGGCAGCGCCACTGGGAGCATGGAGGCTCTCCTCCTCTCTCTCCACTTTTTTTCTTTTTTTTTTTTTTTCTTACTGTTTTGACGTCAGCACCAGCAATTCAACGAATAAACTAACGAAGGACCGAGCCCCTACCGGAGCTACCGGGAGGCAGTAGCGTTACAGAGCGAGTCCCCGCCGCCCGCCCCGGAGGAACCAAACGGAGGAAGGTCCACTGTGAGCCGCCGTGAGAACCAAACGATGCCAGCGCTGCTCACCGCCGCCCAGTAACACGTACTATCGACAAACTGAGAAGAGAAGAGAACCGTTACCGTGGTTTACCGACAGAAAAAAAACAAAAAAACAGAAAAAGACACGGAGGACGGACGGACCGACAGACCACAACGCTTGAGAAACAAACCGCTAAAAGCTGCGGAGGCTACATCGTGTTGTTTTTTTCTTTTGCGCTGTGGATCAAACCGAGTGGATCCTTGATTTAAATGCTTTAACGGTTCCGTACCCCCGGTTTGAGAGCGAGACAGAGGGAGCTGCCCAGAGAGCGAAAGAAAGAGACTGAGGGAGAGGGATCGAAGGTATAGCGCAGAAAAAGGAGGAAATAAACTAAGATAGAAAAAAAAAAAAAGGATTTGCAGCCAGCTTTGTTTCCACGCGCAAGTTTCACTGAATCCACCTTTTTAATTGCTTTTTCTTCCGTGGATCCCGGTACCGGTAACGCTATCAAGCTGTGTTCTCTAACCATGGGATGTACTCTGAGCGCAGAGGAGAGGGCGGCTCTGGACCGGAGCAAAGCCATCGAGAAAAACCTCAAGGAGGACGGTCTCACCGCGGCCAAAGATGTTAAACTGCTGCTGCTCGGTAAGAGACGCCGGTTGAATTGCCTACCGTAGGGCCTGTAGAGCCACGGCAGGCAAATTAAACGCTTGGGAGTGTTGAAAGGTGTGGTGTTGTGTGGGGTGGGGGGGTAGGTGGGGGTGGAGGGCGGGGGGGGGGCGTTTGGTAGAGAGATGACCCTCTGAGGGTAGTGGGAAATTTAAATATATATATTTATTATAAAACCTGACGTTTATCACAAGCCAAAAAACAACATTATGAACCAAAATCCAGTGTATGATCAAAGAGGAACTGATGATTGATTGATAGTGGCTTCTAACACACAGAGCCCTCTTATTACATCACTTTCAAGCTACCTGCTATTGTAGGCTGTTTTACATTAAACACGTACCAGGTGGGTAAAATGTTAATTCTGCAGAACCAGTCAAAGTGTCGGTAAAAGGTGGGAACTACATCAGAGAGGATAACTGCAGATGGATGCCAGGAAAAAAAATGGCAGTATGCAGCAATGGAGGGTCAAGCACAGGCAGTGTTGGTTCATTGGTTTGGGGTGGGAGATTGATTCATTGATTCTTTGTGGGAAATGATCTTGTAAGTGGCCTGTTTAATCTATTTAAATTGCTGAATTTTAAAGATGGAGGGTGGAAGGAGCTAGTAAAAAAAGGATGTTGAGGAAGAAAGGGTGCAGCCACTCTCTCCATCTTTTTTATCTCCACCCTGCTGCTGCTGCTGCTGCTGCTGTCCTTATTCACTTAGGTTTTTAAGAGGCTGATTCTCCCTTTCTTTCTTTCTCTCCCTCTCTCTCTCTCTCATTTCCCCCACCCCCTCCTCTTTCTCACTCTGTCTCCATCTTGCTGTCTTACACACACACGCACACACACACACACACACACACACATACACACACATACACACATATCACACACACACACCCTGTTTACATTGTCTTCTTGTCTCTTATCCCTCAGGGGCTGGAGAGTCAGGGAAAAGCACCATCGTCAAACAGATGAAGTAAGTCTCTAATAAGCATGGTCTAATAACCCTATAGTGTGTATGTGTGTCCCTCTCACACTTTCTGTCTCTTTCACACACACACACACACACACACACACACACACACACACACACATATATCACACACAGAAGTATGAGCCTGTAGCTGTGGCTTGATGGTCTACAGCACCATCATTTTAGATTGTCCATTACTGTTGATCCCACACCTTAACCAAAACTGTGACTGGTCTTGTCAAACATCTGACCAAGCATTGCTCTTTCAACCCTTGTTAAACAGCTGGTGTTGCTCTGCGTGGGTGGGAAGATGTACCAAATTGGGTGTGGAAAAAACATAATGCAGGTGCAGTGATTTGCTGTGCTGCTGTGTATGCATGGAAACTGTTTGAAGATGTTGCTAAATTATATGAAATGGGTTGTCCAAATGACCTGTTATGCGCACACAGAATCTGTTCTGTTACTGCCTGTAATACGTTGATGTTTGCTGAGGTCCATTACTTCCTCCAGTAGCATCTACTGAACTGGTTTGAAATTGCTAGTTTTCCTGCATAAGCTTGCATTAGTAAAAAGATTTGAGGTGTGGCCATGTCACCAGACCTCAGTATTTGGACGGGAGGGGGCGTCTGTAATTGATATCACATAGTTGTAGGATATGGATGGCTTAGAGTAGGATAAGATCCACTTTGATTTCCTCATCCACATCGATGATTTTTTTGATCTCAGGTGTAGAGGTAACCTCGTGTCACACAGTCATGCAATTGATGTCCATTTTAATGCTGCTGTTATGGTACATTTTGTTATTAAAAGCTATAGTAATCCAGTGCGAAAGGTGTTAGTCAGTGTAGACACAGGGTATATTCCACCTACCTTAACAAACACTGATAATATTCCCACACGACTGACAAATGTCAGATTTTTACCAGTGCATTTTAATGACCAAATCCTACTTCCGTTCTACCGCAGGATTATTTCATGTTACTGTATTTGTTAGAACTGAATTTATCCATTAATGGATAAGTTTATTGACAGCAAATTCAACAGCAAGTATTTTGATATTCAAATTATTATTTAAGTTGTTTAATTTGTAACAAAAATGCCAAAAATTAATTGGTTCAAGCTTCTCAAATGTGAGGATTTTTGGCCTTTTTTTTGGATGGAAACAAGACATTTTAAGATATCACCTTAGGCTTTAGATAATTGAGAATAATAATTAGTTGCAGCCCTAATATGTTTTGACCCAAAATATGAAAGCACTGCTTTTTGTTATGGCAACATCAGTTACCAGTGGCTGTTGTAGCTTGTAACACCTTTTATCTAAAAAGCATGTAGCCCATTGGCTGTGTCAGTATTTGTGACGGCCTACTCACTAACCATTGGTCAGTCCAATGTAGCTCAGATAAAATATCACCACAGTACTCCTGTTTTATTCCTGTAGGGATTTAACATGTACTTGTAGTCCTTAGCAGTGAATTTAGTTAATTAATTAAAGATGTCCGATTTTTTTTTTCTCTCCATTATCATGTCCTTATAACAATCCTATAGGGATTTATCTGTGGTACTTAGTAGAAATCTTCAAGCAACATTTTTACACTTAAATAGTATTTTTGTATTTACTGTATCACTGAAATAATCCCATAATATATCAAGAGGATTTACTATAGTTCTTGCCCCCGCCCCCCTCTCCCTTCCCCACATGTGTCATTTTATCTGTAATCCAGTCATGACATATGGTTTTTCTTCTATCTCGTCTGCTACGTCTCTTTACCGACAGCCATGTGCGTTTTAGTCGATAATAGGCTTTGGTTGTGGTTGTATAGTGACACATCACAGGGACATGGGTCAGTGGATCCAGATGAGCCGGTTTCTCAGCTGTTAATGGACAATCCAGCAGCACAGCACATTCTGCACATTGACTGACCAAAGCTCCCACTGATGTTCATTGAATATGTTTAGTAGGCCATAACCTATGGAGAACTGAATGCACTGACTGCACTGGGCTGTTGTTAATCACACAGTTATGTGATGGCTGTGATGGTCAATATAGGTATGAGCCTATTACGGTATTAGTGCAGATATTATTGGAGGGGAACCATAGAGTTTGTTACTATATATGTTACGCATTGCTATATTACAAAGACACACATTATAGCTGCATAAGATTAATACTGTTAAATACATTTTAATAAACTCGTTGACAGAAAGGCATACAGTTTTCTTTCATCACACTCATGTATTTCAATCTTTCCAGTCATGCCACATCCATGTGTGTGTTGTCTGGTTACAGTCTACAAGCTACTCTAGCTAATGCTAATGGATGAGATGATGAAACTGGTTCTGATACTGTAAATACTTTAGGATAGGAGAGACACCTTTTCTGTTTTCAAAACCGCAAATACAAAAGTCTTCCAAACTGGAATAAGTTCTTGAGTTGTGCTATTTGAGGCCCAAAAGTAGTTTTCCACAATAAATTCTAGTGTTTGTATTTCTTTACAAAGGGCATCTGATATTATAGAGAGGGAAGCAGCTTTTCAAGTGGTGGACAGCGCCCTGCCAGGGAAGCCTTTATGTTCCGTTCAGAGACTCTTGGCTATTTCCGGAACCGCATCAGAGGAGTGGAAAGCCCTTACTGCATTTTCTTTCACAGTGCTTTGAACATCTGGGGCGTGCTCAAGTGACCAATTGTGTGTGCGTGTTTTTTGTCAGCGAGAGTCGGAGAGAGACAGAGACGAGTGGATTAGATTTAGATTTTATGGTGTGTATATTGAGTTTCACTGTGTGTCACAGCTGTGCGCGTGATCTCAGTAAGTGGAAGTAAAGAGTCTATTACCACTCTGTACGGTACAGTGGAAAGGTATTGCAGCTATGCTCACAATAAAGACTGGTAGTTTTGAGTCCATTCTACAGGCTCTTCAAGGAAATTTTGTTTGAAATGTGCTCTGGCTAAAATCATTTACCAGACTGTACATGTGTCTGACAAAACTTCTTTGAAACACAGTTTATTAGATGATGCAATAACTCATGACAAAGCACTGATAACAAATCTCTTGGGAGCACAAGTGCACTGTGGTGTGTGTGTGTGTGAGTGAGAGTGTGAGTGTGAGAGAGAGAGAGAGAGAGAGAGAGAGAGAGTGGGTTACAGTTGTTTATGGATGAGTGAATCATCAAGGTGGGAAGCCACAGCTTGGTCTAATGTAGGATTACATTTGTAAGACAAGGAAGGGGATGACGAATTGATGTGTACGATGCAGATGTAATATATGACCGTGCAGAAAGGGAATCTAAAGAAAAGAGAAACGTGTGAATGAATAGATTGTGTGTGTGTATATGTGTATACATATATCTATTATTTATTATCTAATATCACTGAGTGTAATATTTGGGGCCCAACCCAAGGGACCTGGTCATGTATGAACAACATATCTCTCTCTTGTGCACAGAGCTTGCTGTGCATTTGTGTATGTGTGTGTGTGTGTGCGGGAGACACCATCTGTTTATGGAGCCTGTGTGTGTTTAGGCGTGTGCAAAGGTTTCTCTCGCTGCCCAGCTGCCAAACTGACCTCTCCAGCAGTGCTCAGTGTATGTGTGAGTGTGTGAGAAAAACAATTTAACGTAGTAATATTTTCATATTTCATACGCACAACTACTAAAAAGTAAGAGAAAATATCAGAGGTTCTACCCAGTGGTGGGTTTAAGTGTAGCCCCCTCCCATTACAAAGTTGTTGTAATGAAGTAATAGGAAAATAAAGACAAGGATAAGATTTGTCATATGTACTGTTACTTTAAAAAACCTGAAAATTTGAGCTTGATTCCCACTCTCTGTGTTGATATCAGCTGTTAATGTAAACCAGAGAGGCGTCAGAGAGGGCCAGACACCTTGAAAAGTGAGCCCAATGAGTCTTCATGACTTCTCTAAGCCACATGATAGCCAGAGGAGTCATAACATCTTTTATACCTTATAAAATCTCCAGGTAATTTCTCTTTCAATCATTAACAGTCTATAAACCCATATAAAACTGCATGTATCCTATCAAGATGTGATAGGATACATGCAGTTTACAGGTGCTGAAAAGCAGCAATAGAGATTACCTCCACTTGCTCGCACAACAATGTGGATTTGTAGTTCAGGTTAGGGATGGGCGATTTGGCCAAAAGATCATTTGACAATCGTTTTGGGTAGAATCGCAATCAACAATCTGAATCACGAAATGCAACCTGTTTCCGCTCTGATTTTATTGTGAAAGTCCTGACTGGAAGTTGTGATTCATATCTTTCCACCACTTTGATGCTTCTTTCGAATGTTTGTCTGCTGTTCTTCACCCACAAAGCTGTCTTTTGTCTACTAACTGTGTCGCAACCAATCAAGACTTTTGGTTAGTTGATTATGCAGTATTCTTTTGACAGGGCTGTTATTTATTTATGAGGTGCTATATGTAAGTATTTGACTTAGAAAGTTCAGTCACTGCCTTAGCTGGTCCCACCTCGGGTTTCCCTGCCTGCAGGCAGGTCTCTTGAAGATGGTTGTAAAAGGTGTTTAGAATAAGTTGTCCAGTTCCAGTCTTATATCAGAAGGCTGTTTCATACATTCTGTTTTGCTTCTTGGTTACTGAAAGGTTGGAGCTTTAGGTTGTGGTTAGGCTATTTGTATTTGTTTCATATTTGTATTCATTTTGTATTTATAGAATATTTACTAGAAATTAAGTGTCACCTCCATTACTTTCAAAGATGAGAGAGAAAAGGTATAGCTAATGGGTTGATGGGTGGATTTACTAAAAATGATTACTTCATTGCTGCAACATGTCATTGTTTTAAAATGTGAGCAAAGAGACATCAGTCATTGCTTATGCGTATAACATGCAATACCTCTCATTTTCTTTCTTCATCTTAGACTTTCTCTTACAGTGTGTGTGTGTGTCTGTGTGTGTGTCTGTGTGTGTGTCTGTGTGTGTGTATATGTGTGTGTGTGTGTGTGTGTGTGTGTTTGTGCCCTGTTGACATGATCA